CTTGTACCTTATATGACAACACTTGATTCTCATTTTTTCCCCTTACCCCTGCCCTCCCTTCACCCCCTGCTCCCCTCCCCATCTACAAACACTTTATTTCCATCTTTTCATTATCTCACATTTTTTCTTTTCCTTTTTTACCCTTCCCCTGCCCATCCCAACTTCCCTACACCTTTAGCTCCTTTCTTCACATTTCTCAATGTTTCTCTGGTGTGAATAATCTGCAATCATACAGAAGATCCTAATAAGATTCCTGACATTGAGAAATGGAAAGATAGGCTTGTAGTTTTTACGGGTCACTTAGAAGGGTGCCTGCCGGCTAACTTATGGGAGCAGCATGGCCTCAGAGGGCTTTGGTGTCCTCCAAATTCCTTGGGTGGCAGGCAGAATGGTTTAGCTCAATTAGAAGCTCACTTGAGAAAGGAGTTTTTCCCCAGGGTGGAAATATATAGTACTTAAAGCACATTATTAGCCCTGATGATAGAACATATTTGAGCTGATTGTTAGGCTCTGTTTCAGATAAATTACTGAGCCTGAAAAGACATCCTCTTCTTCCTCTCTCATCTCTTATGCAGCCAATAAAGGTACATATTCTATTTTACTTTGATGTAAACGCAAAGCATGAGCTCCTTCCATCTCATATAAATTAAATTCTATCTTTAACAATGGGAAATAACACCTAATTATACAAAATTTTTAAAAATGATTTTATTATATGAAGTTACAAATCACTAATCCAGACAGGCTTTGTGCTTTCCTAGCTCTACTTATAACAAGATCGCTTCAGATAAAAAGGAAAAGCACATGTGTATTATGAGCCCATATATTAAATATGGAATCAATGTGAGGAAATGAAAAGTGCTGGAAAAGTCTTGGTAGATTGGGAGGGAGGGAGGGGTTGAAGGGAGGGCAGGGAAATGATGAAAAAATAAGAACCAAGGTTGATTATGTAAACATACAAATTTTCAACAGTGAAAGTCATTATACTGTGTACATTAAATGTACCTATTTGAAATGAGAAAAGTTAAAAATCTTTTTAAATAAATTTCAGTTTGTTTAAAATGAACAAATAAATAACTAAATAAATCCTACCATATTGTCTCTAGCAGCACTGTGATTCTGGCTGTTCACTAAATGACGACTGTGTGTAAGTTTGCACTTAAGCACCGAGCCTGTAGTGAGTCCCGAGAGCTCTCTCTGTACAGCTCAACGTCCAGTAAGGAACGAGCAGGACACTGAGCGGACATCACTGAACCAGCTTCTGAGTCGAGGGAGGCCTTAGGTGCTTTGCTTGCTGTTCCCGCACGAGTGTCCAGTCCGAGCGAACGGGAGCTGAGTAAATACGATTGTGGTGTGGAGGGGTCGGATAGTGACCCAGAGCAGAGATTCGTCTTAACTTGAAGTCGTATCTTAGTGATGTCTTGATTATATACTAATTTGTGACCATCACGGAAACCCAGTAAGAGAAGGTTCTCAGCAGGATGTGCATTCATTTGTTTGTATTTCTTTCTGCTGATACATACGTATAGTTACTGTATTTACATTCTGTCATGTGATGTTTGCAGACATGTATACATTGCGTAATTGTCAATTGAGACTGAATTTAATTCAACAACAATTCGGTGTGTATGATGAAAACCTTCAAAATCTTTCTTTCACTTTATTTATTAAGAATAGCTATAGAGCAGCACGCTCTCCATTTTCATCTCAACTAAGGGCAGAGCCCGGCTCTCAATCAAAGTGGAGCTTCCTATCCATGCCTCACCCTCACAGCCTCACCTCCCACCTTCTCTCTCTGATATCGAGTTATGGTCACTTCCCAGCCTCACGCATCACATTTCATCCAGGCAAGTATATAATTATGGAAGTTTCTTTAAATATTTGAAGTATTCCTTGAGATGTGCCTTAGTGTCTGGAAGTCTTAGGTGGTGAAGGGAATTGATGTGCATCTCTCCTTTTATTTTTAGAACGTCTTCAAGGTGCCCCGTGCTGCACGGACTGTTATTTCCCCTTTTGCGTGTGTGCGTGTGTGTGTGTGTGTGATAGTTTTATAATGGAGACTGAATGCGGGGTATTATGTATATACTTTTATTTTCAGATAGGCTCTCCCGATGCTGCCGGGTTTTCCCGGAGATCTTCCTCCTCAGCCTCCCAGAGAGCTGGGATCACAGATGTGCCCGATGCTCCCAGCCCCTACGTCTGTGTATTTCTTAACTGCCCATTGTGATCACTTTGCAGACTCACCATAAGTCTCAGCTTAGGGATACTGTGCATCTCTTCTGCAAATTGATTTAGTCTCTTCCATTTTTCAAATAAAAGACAACATACATGTGATCCAGTGCATCACAGAAACAATGAGATGAAGTGCTACTTCAGCAGGAGTGATGAAATCACAGTAATTGGTAATTGCCTGACTCTAACCTCACATCCTGAGCACACAGAGTCATGCAGGAAGTTCTACTCAATCCGAGTCTGGGGTGAGACCTGCAAATTGGGGAGGACCTGGTGTTTACCCTGAGGACAAGTCTAGTCATGCAATCAATTCCAATCATTGGTAATCTCGAAGTTAAATTAGGGAACCCAATTTTATGAAATACTGAATTGCATACAATATGTGTAGAATACCAATCTAAATGTGCGTATAACTGTAGTGACAAGGAAAGAACACAGTCCAATATACTCAAATATGTAAAAACACGTGTAAATACCCATTTAGGAAAAGATGGAATACAACAAAAAATGTGAAGAACAGAAAACAACATTTAGTGAAGACCTGAGTGATGCAGGGACATCATGGAGATAAGTTTTGGTCTTTGTTCCTTCTCTACAAGAAATGCACAATTGAAATATGAACATTCTAATTCATCACTTCCATGGTCAAAGAAGTTGGCTGTACCTTTTAAATGCTGAACTTTACCAAGAAAGAAGCAATTGCATTGCTCTCCTTGAAAAATCATGACAAAGTTTACAAATGCTAACTTCACAGATCTAACATTAAAGTGCAAATAAAACGGGAAAATTATCTAATATCCTCTGTTTTATAATGTCTTATTACTCCTTTATAATAAAGAAGCATGTCATACAGAAAACAAAAGCTGAATAAAACTATAAAGCAGCCACCAGAAGAAATAAAATAAAATTAACTGTGCTAAGCTCTAAGAACTATTATGGATTTTACAAAAGTATTTACTTAAGCAATATAATTCACTTAGAACTGAAAATGATAGGAAGGGACTTT